TTTAAATTAGAATATTAAGTTGCTAGTTTATAGTGCAAGCTGTATCTCTTAAGAACCAGAAGGACTATGTTGGTATGACCAGTGTAGAAAAGTACACAGGAAGGTAAATTATAAGCAGAATTTCTTGTTTGTTTGTTTTTTTAATTGTGCTTGGGTGCAAATTTACAAAGCAGATTTATTTTACATTCAACAGTTCATGCACATTTGATTTCATGGCCCCAGTTATCCTCCTCCACTCTCCTGCCTGTGACTACCCCCTCCCTGTGCCCTTCTTATCTGTGCATTCCTGTCTGTCCAGCATTTCCTCTATATGAGTGCTTCCTCTCCAGTGTCTCATGGCTAATTGATCTAAGGGGTGCATCTCTCTAGAGTAGGTGGGTGCATCAGCTTGGGGTAGGTGTTCTGCATGTAGGTCTTTCTCCTTTTGGGCTGAGAGCCAATCCATGGAAGTGAGTCCATTTCTAGGCCTGAAGGGTAACCTGGGGCCATAGTCTCCGGGGTTCCACCAGTCTCTATCCGACCAGTAATTCTGGTCATTTTTGTGTTTTTGAATTTTGTTCCACATTCTTCCTCCCACTGTATCCAGGATCTCCAGTTTTGATCCCTTTCTGAGTGGTTGGCCTTGGTAGCCAGCCACCATCTACTTCTTCTGGTCCTGGAGTCGTGAAAGCTGAGATCTTCATGGTCCATCTTATCTTTGGACTAATTGTTTCCAGATGACTTTGATTTTCTTAACTCTTCTTTGCTCCAGATGAGAGGAGATCAATAGTTGTATCTTAGATGGCCACTTAAAAGCTTTTAAGACCCAGTCACTACTCACCAAAGTAGGATGTAGAACAAGACTCTTATGTACTATGTTGTGCCAATTGAGCATGATATCCCCCAAAACTATGGTCCCAAACCCACAGGCCCCATGATTCTCTCTCTCAGGGTGTTTGGTTGTCTCTCACAAGCTACTCCAACCCTGTCTTCTGTTGATTCTGTAATGTATGTGGCTGATTTTGTAGCATGAGTGCATATGTAAGAATATTTTCAGCAAAATCTATCCTTGGTCTAGGGTACGTTCCTGTTTGCCTACCCCCACTTGATCTTCTCACCTATCTATGCATTTTCCCGTAGCCTGGTGTTTGGTGCCAGTGGTAATGCAGTATTGTGCATGTGAAAGTATTTGTCGCTATTGTCTATATCTTTTGTGTATGTTTCTGTGTCTTTCCTTTCCCCAGTGTCACCAGTGCTGGTCATAGACACTTTCCATACCACCCCTTTCAGAATGTTTCTTGATGAACATGAATTATAACCTACTATCTTGGTCCACTACATTCATTTGTCAGTTTGTCGTACTTGGGTAGCTTTTGTGTTGCTGTGAGGCTGGAGGCTATGCCGCTGGTATTTCAATTACCAGCAGGGTCACCCATGGTGGACAGGTTTCATCGGAGCATCCAGACTAACACAGACTTGGAAGAAGGAAGAGGGCAATCTTCTTCTCAAAGAATTGGCCAGTGAAAACTTTATGAATAGCAGTGAAACACTGTCTGATACATTATTAGACAACAGCTCTGAAACACTGTCTGATATAGTGCCAAAAGCTGAGTCCCTCAGGTTGGAAGGCACTCAAAATGTGACTGGGGAAGAGCTGCGTCCTCAAACTAGAGTCAGCCTTAATGACAGGGATGGAGTAAAGCTTTTGGGACCTCCATTTGCTGATGTGGCATGACTCAAAATGAGAAGACACACCTACAAACATCCATTAATAATTGGAACATGGAATGTATGAAGTATAAATTTAGGAAAATTGGAAGTTGTCAAAAATGAAATGGAAGAATGCATAAAGATCAATATCCTAGGCATTAGTGAGCTGAAATGAATTAGTTTAGGCTATTTGAATCAGACAGCCATATGATCTACTGTGTCAGGAATGATACATTGGAAAGGGGTGGCCTGGCATTCATCGTCGCAAAAAATGTTTCAAGAGCTATCTCGAAGAACAGTGCTGTCAGTGATAAAATGATATACATATGCCTACAAGGAAGACCAGTTAATACTACTATTACTCAAATTTACACACCAACCGCCAAAGCAAAAGACCAGGAAATTGAAAATTTTTGCCAACTTCTGCAGTCTGAAATTGACCAAACATGCAATCAGGATGTGTTGATTATTACTGGTGATTGGGATGCAAAAGTTGGAAACAAAGAAGAATCACCAATAGTTGGAAAATATGGCTTTGGTGATAGAAATGATGCCAGAGATCGCGTGACAGAATTTTTTAAGACCAACAACTTAGTCATTGCAAATACCTTTTTTCAAATACCCATACATGTGGACTTTACCAGATGGAGTACACAGGAATCAGATTTACTACATCTGTGGCAAGAGGTGATGGAAAAGCTCAGTACTTTGAGCCAAAACAAGACCAAGAACTGACTGTGGAACAAACCATCAGTTGCTCATATGCAAGGTCAAGCTGAAGCTGAAACCAATGAAAACAATTCCATGAAAGCCAAAATGTGACCTGATTATATCCCACCTGAATTTAGAGACCATCTAAAGAATAGATTTGACACATTGTACACCAGTGACCGAAAACCAGATGATTGTGGGATGACATCAAGAACATCATACATCAAGGTACCAAAATGCCATTAAAAAGACAGGAAAGGAAGAAAAGACCAAACTGGATGTCAGAAGAGAGTATGAAACTTGCTCTTGAATGGAGAGTAGCTAAAGCAAATGGAAGAAGTGACAAGATAAAAGAGCTGAACAGAAGATTTCAAAGAGCAGCTGAAGAAGACAAACTCAGTTGTTATAATGACATGTGCAAAGACCTGGAGTTAGAAAACCAAAAGGGAAGAACACACTTGGCATTTCTCAAGCTGAAAAAACCAAAGAAGAAATTCAAGCTTAAGTTGCAGTATTGAGAGATTCTATGGGCAAAATGTTGAATGATGCAGGAAACATCAAAAGAAGATGGAAGGAATACACAGAGTCACTGTACCAAAAAGTATTGCTTGATGTTCATCCACTTCAGAAGGTGCCATGTGATCACAAGAACTGATGGTACTAAAGGAAGTAGTAGAAGCTGCACTGAAGGAATTGGTGAAAAATAAGGCTCCAGGAATTGATGGGCTACCCCTTGAGAAGTTTCAGCAAATGGATGCTGTGCTGGAGGTATTTACTCATCTATGCCAAAGACAGCTACCTGGCCAGCTGACTGGAAGAGACCCATATTTGTTCCTATTCCAAAGAAAGGTGATCCCACAACATGTGGAAATTATTGAACAATATCGTTAATATCACACACAAGTAAAATCTTACTGAAGATAATTAAAAAATGGTTGCAGCAGTGTATTGATAGAGAGCTTCCAGAAATGCAGCTGGAATCAGAAGAGGACATGGAATGAGGGATATCATTGCTGATGTCAGATGGATGTTGGCTGAAAGCAAAGAATACCAGAAAGATGTTTACTTGTGTTTTATCGATTATGCAGAAGCATTCAACTGTGTGGATCACAGCAAGTTATGGATAACACTGAGAAAAATAGCAATTCCAGAAGACTTAATTGTGCTCATGAGAAACCTGTACATAGACCAGGAGGCTGTCATTTGAACGGAACGAGGGGATACTGCATGGTTTAAAATCAAGAAGGGAGTGTGTCAGGGTTGTATCCTTTCATCATACTTATTTAATCTGTATGCTAAGCAAATAATCTGAGAAGCTGGACTATATGAAGAACGTGTCATCAGAATTGGAGAAAGAGTTATTAAGAGTTATTATATACAACCTGCAATATGCAGGTGACACAACCTTGCTTGCTGAAAGTGAAGATGACTTGAAGCACTTGCTAATGGGGAGTAAAGACTACAATCTGCAGTATAGATTACATCTCAAAGAAAATGAAAATCCTCACAACTGGACCAATACACAGCGTCATGATAAATGGAGAAAAAATTGAAGTTGTCAGGGCTTTCATAATGGATCCACAATCAACAATGGAAGCAGCAGTCAAGAAATCAGGCATCATATCACATTGGCAGATATGCTGCAAAAGACTTCTTTAAAGTGCTGAAGAGCAAAGATGTCTCTGAAGATTAAGGTGTGCCTAACTTGAGCCATGGTGTTTTCGAAAAGTCACCTCATATACATGTGAAAACTGGACAGTGAGTAAGAAAGACCGAAAAAGAGTTGATAATTTTGAGTTGTGATGTTGGTGAAGAATACTGAAAGCACCACGGACTGCCAGAAGAACAAACAAATCTGTCCTGGAAGAAGTGTAGTCAGAATGCTCCTTGGAAGTGAGAATGGCCAGACTTCGTCTCACCTACTTTGATCCTGTTGTCAGAAGGGACCATTCTCTGGAAAAGGAAATCATGCTTTATAAAGTGGAAAGTCAGTGAAAAAGGGAAAAGCCCTCAACAAGATGGATTGATGGATTGATAACGGTGGCTGCAACAATGGGCTGAGGCATAGCAAGGATTGTGAGGCTGGTGCAGGACTTTGCAGTGTTTTGTTTGGTTGTATGTAGGGTTTTTGTGAGTCAGAGCTGACTTGATAACATCCAGTAACAAAAACAACAACATCCTGCTCCATCCATCTTCTAGCCAATAAGGCTGAGGTTTATGTACCAGTCTATCAAACAATGCTGGATAAATGCTCCCAAGCTTTTATTATTTATTCTTTTGTTAGATACTGTGCAGCAATCCATCTGAAAGCCTAAGTATAGTATAATTACTTATATATTTTGGTTATAATACATTCCACTATGGTTATGTCACCTGGATTGATTCATGTATTCCTAAAATATGTATCACACAGGCAATTTCTTTCATTATTTCTGTTCTACAAATGCCTGAATATTATTTCACTTTTATTTGCAAAGCTAAAACTTAACCCCAGTGTTTTGAATTACCACACAGTCATCCCACTGCCACATTCACAATCTATAGCACTAAGCCTAGATTTGTCATAAGCTCCCTGTTAATAGCAGTCTTTCCTATTACAGACAACCAAGAAGAGGAGGATGGAGGCTTGGGAGTTGATCTTTCTTTTATTGGCTCTCATGCTTTTGCTCGAATGGAAGGAGATATTGATAAGCAAAGAAGATTGATCCTTCAGGGACAGTTATCAGAGGCAGCCCTGCAGAAGCAGCATCAAAGAAAGTAAGGCAAACCCTTTTGGCCTGATAGATACTCAAAGGCATGAATGAATCAAGGAAGAGACTTTACATCTGCTAAATGCATCTCCATATATATATATAAGTATTCTCATTTTTGTATCATGACAATTCAGTGAGGAAAATGTTGTCCCCACTTGGTAGATTTAGGAACTCAAATAATTTCAGTGGTCCTAGTTAATACGTGTTGAAGCCAATGTTCATGTGCATGTCTGATTTCAGAGGTCCTGCTCTGTCTACCATATTGTAGTGCTTCCATGTGAAGATTTTAGTCTAAAAAAGTATTAACTAGGCATAAGAAGGACAAAGGGAGAGGCTGAGTTGCAAAGTTTTTACTTAACTTTACTATGTTTATAATTAAAGTCTAATCTACAGTTTTATATTACATTTAAAGAAGCTTTATTTCTTCACAAATTATCCCAAGGACTTTATAAGGCTTATTCCATTTCTTTCAAGTGTTTTCTAAAATAAGAAACAGCTTCTATACTTCTGGGTAAGCTTTTCTAAGGACTAACAGTCCTTGTATAGCTAGGTGCTTTTTAGAGGAAAGAAAAAAATAATAAGGTACAAATGGCTGCTATCTTACAGCATTACCTTATAGGGTTAATTGAGGGAGTAGCATCTCATAAGGTTGTGATGAGCCTGAAATAAGATGATATCATGAGCATTCCCTGCACATACTACATGGAAGCTCTTAAAGTGAATCACTGGTGTTCTCTTTAGTACTGAGGAAATCATGAGCTCATTTACCTCTGAGTTTTAGTGCATGCCATTCCTTTTGACTGAAATATGCTAATCCTTTCATTCTCACCCATCCTCCAAGTTTCAGCTTGGAAATAGTTGCCTCTGGAAACTTCACTCCCAAATCTGGAATAGGTGTCTCCTCTTGTATGCTTCTTTAACAGCCTATACTTACCCTAGGGGGAGCATAGCATTAGCTCCTTATATTATGATGACGTCTAGTTGTTGTCAGTCTCCATCTTTAATGTGCGAGTTGGGTTACATGACCTCCAGGGTCCCTGACAGAATTAAGGTGCTGAGCCCATGGTCTTCTCTATTCTGATTTTATTTTTATAAGTTAAAGCAAATTGCGTAGTGCCTAAGGCATTTGACTGCTAAGCAGAAGGCTGGTGGTTCAAACCCACCAGCCACTCCTCGAAAGGAAAATTGGACAACCTACTTCCCTAGTGATACTGCCTCAGAAATCCAAGGAGGGGTTGCTATGAGTTGGATCCAACTCTATGGCAGTGAGTTTGGTTAGCCATTAGAGGGCACCAGTGAACAGCTTTTCCAAAGTTCACTGTCAAAATCGGATAGTTGCAGTGGTTTCTAAACTTGGTCATGGCCATGTGTAAGAATCATCTAGCAAACATTTCTTTAAAATACATTGCCTGCCCTCCCTGTCACATGACTGGTATGGGACCTTGGCATCTGTATATATATTTTAAAACTTTTCCATGTCATGTCTATATGCTGCTAAATTTGGTTACCTCTTTTGATCAAGACAGTGGTTCTCAAGCTTTTTGGTCTCAGATCCCCTGTGCACTCTTATAAATTATTGAGGGCTTTAAAGAATTTTTTGTTTATATGAGTTATGTCTATCAATATTTAACATATTAGAATTTATTGATTGATTTCTTTAATATTAAGTGATAAGCCCTTATGTTTTCATGAAAAATAACTATTACAGAATATAGTGAGAATAATGTCACAGTTTTACATTTTTGCAAGACTGGTAAATCTTTTAATATTTGTTTTAAAGAAGAAAGCTGGATTCTCATATCTCCATTCAGTCTGTTGCAGTAAGTTGTTTTGGTTGAAATATATGAAGAAAATCTAGCATCATACACAGTTGGAAAAGGGAATAGTATTTAATAGCTTTTTCAGATAATTGAGAATATTCTTCTTTGATACTACACACCAGAACTCAATAAATGGTAGTTTTCTTAAAATTTATTTGTGATGTAGAATCTAAAACTATATCTATGAATTTTTATGCTCTCTTATATTGATCTTTCCTGTACTTTGAATGGATCTTTATTTAACCCATGAGTGATTTTATAGAATGATACTTTGGTCTTTTTTAAATATCAGTTCACTGAATTATTCAGATCTTCCAAATACTAACACATGACATTACCCAATAAAAAAAATATATTAATGTTACCACCAGTCTCCTCAGAAAAGTCTTTAAGTATTAGGAACTGTCAAGCTTCTGGTGATAGCTACACATTTTCAAAAATTACATGCATGTATTTCTTTAATTTCAGTTTTTATCATGAGAAAAAAAATTCTGTTGGTGCTTTTACACCATCACTGCAAATGTCAACACAAAAAAAAGGCAAATAATGTCTTGGTGTTATTATGAAAATAATTTTGACCTTGCAAACTCCCTAATGTGGTCTCAGGGACCTCTTCAGAGGTCTACAGATCTACTTTGAGAACCACTAGTCCATGATCTCTCACTAGTACTGTATGGTTGAAAAGAATTTTATTGATCCAATAATACAGTTTCCTAAAGTACAATTTATAGTCAAAAGCATTAGAATCACCAGGGATACTCATTAAAAATTCGTGGTACCCACACCAACCCTACTGAATCAAAACCTTTTTGGGTAGGGCTTAGGAGTCTTCCTTCTAAAATTTCTTAGATGATTCTTTTGGCCTTGAAACACTGATCTAGTCTGACCCCTAGACCCATTTACAGATTTATAAATTGATCCCAGAGAGTGTTTGCCCAGAGTTCCAGCTATCTCAACAAGAGCCTTCAAAGTAGCTACTGTAGCATTTCTCCCCTCTTACCACCATCTTCAATTCAGTTACACAGACAACTTCAGAGAAGCTTGGGAAAAGCAAGAGATTTTTTTATATGCAAATACAAAGAACCACTTTGCCATCAGATTTCTCAAATCAGTCACTGAACCTCTTCCCTTCTCTTCTCTGCCCCCCACCAACATCTCTCTCTTCCTCTGTCTATCTCTCTCACACATACATCTTTCTCCCATCTCCAAGAATGTACAGATTCATGAATTCTTAAAGTTTGCCTTTGGGCTAGAGGTATAGCTCTCTCTTTTTTTTTAAAAAAAAAAAAAATGAAGTTGTTTGTTTCACCCAATATTAAAATAAATGTGTATTCATTGAGTCCATGCTTGTTGGAAAGAAGCCCCACCAAAAGGGGTGGGTTCTAGGAGAGCACATGAACACAGCATGTAAAGGATTGTCCTTTGTATTGGTGGAGATCTTTGATCTTGAGATTCAAATTTGTTAAACATTTGACAGTTTGCATTTAAGTTCACGAAACATTAATTTCTTACTCTTTATGAGGTAATATTCTGTACACTGAAATGTATAGAAATAAATAAGGTAGTTCCTGTCTTCTGGAAATGCATTACTGATCCACAGCACCTTCAGATGTCACGGGTATTGGGACATGTGAAGACAGATAGTCTGAAGCACAGGCTGTGTCCACATCCAGTCAACACATAACTGCAGACATAGAGAAGAGTACAGTCAGAAGCCTGGACCAGGAAGGGCTTGGCACCTCTGCCAGTCTGTTCCATTGAGCAATAAGCCACATCTGAATCAAAAGGTTTTTTGATTGCCCATTTATCTGTCCAGTGTCTGTGATGATGAAGATGAGGTCTTCTCTTACAGCTGTGTTGCAAAATACTTGAGAGTGATAATGGTGGGTCTCTAAACTGTGAACCAGAGAACTGGGGTCTGTGAGGGGAAAACTATTTCATAATATTACTGAGACTTATTTGCCCTTTTCACTTCCATTCTGCCACAGAGTTCAATAGCATTTTCCAGAGACTGCTTGACATGTGATATTGAGTAGATTAAATGCAGAAGCAGATAAGAGTATCTAGCAGAAATTAAAGGGATTTGCAAAAATGTAAAAGATGGCAACTCTTCTCCCTAAATGGAGCTTTTCTCTTTTTTTTTAAAGTTATTTAGGTTCACAAAGTAAGTTTTTTATTATTTTTAAATGCTATATTAAATATTTCTCAGTTTTAATTTCTTCAGTAATTGAGAATATCAGTAATAATCAGTAATTACTGTAGAAATTAAAATATATTTAATTGATCAATAGTACAGTAAGTTTCAGTAGATAAAAGTGATGTAGACAAAAGATATTTAGGGTCTTTAATAATTTTTAAAAATCTAAGACAGTCTTGAGACCAAAAAGTTTGAATATATGTGACTAATTATTTAGGAGTTTATGGTAAAATTGAGCTGTAAGTCATCTATTTGCATACTGGGCCATGTGCTAAACACATTTAAGGTTACAGGCTTAGTTTCTTAAATTCATTTCTCTTATTCTTTCTGAAGAGGAAACATGATGGTGCAATGTTTAAATGCTTGGATGCTAACCAGAAAGAAGGTTGGCAATTCAGACTCACCAGTTGCTCTGTAAGAGGAAAGACCAGGCGACCTGCTACTGTAAAGATTACAGCCTAGAAAACCCTCTGGGACAGTTCTCCTCTGTCCTGTAGGGTCACAGTGAGTTGGAATCCACTTTGACACACAACGACTCATTCTAAATCAGACTTTAATTCACATATTGGGTTTGGTTTCTGCTGATTATGTTAGTTAGCACAGCAAAAACTTTATCTCATTCATTATTAAGTGTTTATTGAAATCTAAGATACCAAGTATTGTGATAAAAACTGGTGGTAGGTTGACAAGCAATTACAGACCCTGCCCTCATGGAGCTTAGTGTTTTGCAAAGGAGAAAAATGTTAAACTAATTATTATAGATTATAGTTTCCAGGTACTATGAATACATATATAGAGTAGTTGAAATGAATAAAATTGACATCCAACGATATGGGTGAATTTTAACAATATAACTCCAAAAAATGAGGCTTTAAAGACTATATATGTCATTTGACAAGGGACTTATCTCTAGAATTTATAGAAAATTCCAACACCTCAATAACAAAAACACAAAAAATCCAATTAAAAAATGGGCAGAAGACATGA